GGGGTGTGTGATAGTTAACGAACAAACAGTTTAAGGATAGAAATGGTTACAACAAGTGGATTGCATAATGCACAATTGTGGAAAAATAAAAAGCAAGTTAAGGAATAAGTGAGTGATCAAGTGATTACGTAATAAGCAATTAAGTGTGAAGTAATTATAAGAATAAAATAATTCGCTTAATGATAATTTTTTGAGAGAAAAACTTAGTAGAAGGGCGTAATGGTCAGGTTTTTACATTCGTATAAAGAGACGGCCAATGTACAGAAAGTGGTTGAAAAAACTTATCCTGAACATACAGGTTTGGCTTCTCTGGGTGGATCTCAATGACTTCAGCTGCATGTAGAAGACGAAGTTGTAAAGCAAAATAAAGATTAGTAGGAATACGTTAAATGACTTTAAGTGCTGTATGAAGAACACTTTTATGCTCACTATCTACAAAGTGTGCAAGAATGTTGTCATTCCCTACTAATTTGTTGATTAGATATATCATACACAGAGTGAAACAGTATTATTTACTGGATGACGACATTTCGAACACAATTTATTGTTCATAATGTTATCCCATTCAATAGGATGGCTTAAGATGACAGTTTTAAAATCTAATGTAGCAGAATGGAGGGGTAGATTGATAACGGAAGCTTTATTTGTCGAATCAACTGCGAATCAACATGAAATAGGAATGATTCAATACCTGCCCAGTTGGATATCTGGAAAATTCTACTACCACACCTACGACGACAAATAGGAGAGAACAAAGAAAACTATAAAATTTTCAAGTATTGGTTTTGTAGGGATTTTGTTTGATTGCATGGAGGACTTAATCATGAGCTGACATCAGTTAATCTGATGCTCACTAGCGACTGGCCCTATTCAGGCAGTTAACCTGGGGTTCTAGTGGGAAGCTGTGACCACTAGGGTACAGCAGGTCGAAGATGAGGCAGTAACTCATCGAAAAAGACATTGCGAAGTGGTCGCGCTATGTCGTGAATTGGCAGAAGTTAGAATTCAAGAACCATTGGATCGGGTCCCAGTTGCTCAATGGTCTATGAGCTAGCTCGCCTTGTAACCAGAAGGTCCTGGGCTCGACCCCGTGGTGTGGGTGCGTACTGATGAGGAATCCCAAACTAGGACGAAACAGCTGCCCAGTACTCCTAGGTTTTCCAGTGGTTCTCTAACTGATGTCAGCTCATGATGAAATCCTCCATGCAATCAAAACTATAAAACTCAAGTTTCGAAGTCGTGTGATTATAATTGATTGGTATGATTATGAACAACAATAAATTTTGTTCGAAACTTTGTCATGCAGTCAATAATACTTTTTCACTCTGTGTGTGATATATCTAATAAACAAACTTATATGGAATTATTAAAACACTGTTATATATTTTTTGAATTTTAGAATCAAAGATTATAAGTATATTTTTATAGAAATTTTGAATATTTTTGAGTTTTGTGGTTAACATCCAAGTGTTCTTAAGTATATACGAAGATTAATTGGAGTTGTGAAGAAGTCAGGTTTCGGCTAGATTTCACTCATCATATCGTCACTCTTTGACAGGTTCTGGAATGTAGATATGCGTCCAAGTGTTCGACTCTTGTCATACTTCTTGGTCTGAAGAGTGTTGCATTTAGCTCTATCGATCGCGAAGTGTTGTAGCGACGTCTGACAATGAACTCACTTTACTTGAACACTCATGCAGTGACATAAGAGTTTTACGTAGAGTTGCTGTTTAAAATGATAACAATCACTGTTGACCATCAGGTATGCTCAATGTGACCATATTTCGGTTATTGATTCAGAGACGTGTGTTCTGTGCAGCAGTTTGTTCTATCCGTCATTATGGGTGTGAAACATGGTCATTTAAAGTGAAAGACTATACATGTTTGCGTTCTACCTGTCGTGTTAACTGATGTCATATGGTGGGTAATGTTGAGGCTGGAAGTAGAACGTTAGAGTAAGGAGAGCTAGTCAGTCAATATGGTGCTAAGCTAGCTATCTATCGATTGGAATGGCTAGGACATATTGTTACCTCATGCTAAGTCATCAGCGTCAGTGGACAGCAGTAGAATGCTCACCAACCAAGCCTCATGTGGTTCGAGGTTTGATCCCCAGTCCACACCGCACCCCTTTACCTCGCTAAGCTGACATTAAGACTGGTAAAGAGGGAAGGTTGAGCATGAGGCTAGCAACCCCATCTCGCTAAAAAAATAAACACCACTGCTGCCGAAACTTCAAGTCTCTACTAGCTTGAAGCCCTCCCTATGTTCCACTGGGTCTGTCTGGATTCAACATAGAACTTGGCACCGAAGTGCACCAGTTCGAGTTGCCACGTTTCAAATAGCACATAAAGGTAGACAAGAAGATGAGTGAAGAGCATCAATAGAGTTTGACAGGTATTAAAGCGAAATAGAATGGGTAATGACAGAAAGAAATATGAAAGATTACAGAGACTGAATGCATCTGCGCTGGCCACTGACAACGATTTTGAGTCATGTCACCCCTATTGTCTCCAGCCGTTGATTCCTAGAGTCCCGAGGGCCCCAACTCGGAAGTCTGCATCTCCCTACCTGACTCAGTTTAACTGTCATGGATTGATGAGGCCATGTTTTTGTTTGGCCACCACTTACTCTTTTCCAACCTGCACCGCCTATATCAGCTAGTAATGCCCGTCGGGGGAGGCGATGGTTAGGCATGCACAGCACATGACCTAACCATCTCAATCTATGTAACTTTATAGCCTCGTCGATTGATTTCCCCTCTTTGCCCAACACTCTACGCCTAACATCAACATTGCTTACCTTATTAATTAAACTACCTAACGTGAGAGAGAGATCGCAGACATCTATGATCAAAAACAGTCAACCATTTCATGTCTTCAACTCGTATTGGCCATGTTTCAGAGCCATAGAGAAGTACGGGACGAACTGGTGAGCAGTACACACGTCCCTTGGTTGATAGCCGGATGTCACGCCTACGCCAGAGATGGTGTAAGTCAGCGAAAGCAGCTCGAGCTTTTTGGATCCGTGCTGCGATTTCGTCGCCAATCATCATTCCGTTGGTGCTGGGAACTTAAATGTATAAAGGAAAATACTAAGTCAACACCTTTCTTGTCTGGTAATGTTTACTGGCATAGGATTAGGCTGGAAGAGGGTTAAAGGTGATCAAATCAGAAAGTGTAATCAATCCATGAATTCTTCAAGTGTTAGCTCAAGGTATCTACGTAGGAGAAGTGCAGATTGTATGTCTGGGATCCTGAGGACGCTAAGAACCAATGGCTGTAGAGATCATTAATGATATGGCTGGAAATGGTTCTCAGTCAGTGGTAGCTCAAATGGATTCACTCTTTGCTATGTCTCAGATCCATTTTACTTCCTACATTGAAAATTGAAATTCAATCAGCGGTCAAATTAATCCATCAAATCGATAACATCTATATTCTGAATATTTAACTCCATTGTGGATAAGACGAGTGTTTTTATAGTCATAATAAGTTACTTGTTAGAATGATGTGATGTGTATGAATTGAAATAGAATTTCAAGATTATTTATTGTCCTCTTCTGATTTGACTGACTGGCGGTAATAATATCTTCCATATTTCTGGTATTTGTATTGAGTCATTTCTGTTTCATGTGTTGTGTTGGGTGTAGACTCAATGAACCAGGATTCAGTAATCAACCTCTCTCCACTCACCTATATTACTTTTTAGAATTGTAACCCTATCCAACCCTATTGTGTGGTTGTTTTTTAATGCGTGAAGTGCAATTGCTGAGCTTTTTTCTAAATTACTTATCTTCTCGGGGTCAACCATTCTTACCTTAGCTAAATTCTTATGTTCTGACAGACAATCTGACTATCCCCGACCTACTAGTTTGACGCATGTAGTTGACTTCACTCACATTCACTGCAAGGTATTTTGCAAATTATATTATTTTGTTTAATTGGGTCAACCTACAGCGTCCTTTAAACTACAAAGCTTGTCCTATCTGAGTGAGTTTGTAGGTTTGAATGCCACCTTAATTCCTGCTTTATTGAGAATCCTACGTAGGGTCTCAGATGTCCCCTCTTTATATGGCATAACTGTAGATGACTTATTGATATGCATCCATATATATATATATATATATATATATATATATATATATATATATATATATATATATATATATATGTATGGTGATCTCTCTTTCTGTTGCTCGCTTAGTCTGTGACCATTTCACTTTGATGAACCTGTCTCCTTTAGCAATGTATATTCCCCTTATATTATATATGAGTGTTTGTTGACAGTCCGTTGCTTGGTGACATATATCCATATATGGTGGTTGTTGACATGTCTGCTATATTTTGCTATGTATATTTGGATCGACATTCCATTATAATTAGCCATTCATGTTAAGACTGTCTATTGATTTGTTCACACACTTGTCTGATGGTCATATATATATTTCGCTCTCACAATCTGTGTGACTTACTTACTTTTCGTGTGATACCACTTATTGCTTCTCCTTGTGTTTGGAAAATAGAAGTATCATCGCAAACCTAGTGGTCTTCTGATTTCCGCCTTCTTGCGTCAGGACTATTAAATTCTCGACCAGTACGTAGCAATAATTTAACGACAAGTACATAACAGTTTGGCGACGGGGAAAACCACTATTAACCACTCAGCAGCGGCAGCATAGCACTTATATTCCACAATTATTTTTATTTTGGCCTTTTTCGATTACCCTAATGAATTTTATAGGATAGTCATCTATTTAACACCAACACCTCTTCTATCTGTTTTATTTCGTCATTTAGGTCTTTTTTGTGCTACTTAGTGCTACTGCTCGGTTTGTTAGACACTTAACTAGGCCTGCCTTTTAACAGTTAACGGATGAGAAGAATTAAAATCTACTATATATATATATATAATCTCGTGGTGTTATTCACATTTATCGATCTGAGAGTAACACTGATTGTAACTATTCTATTGTCTTTTTTTCGTCTTTTGTATTTCTATAGGTTGATCTACCTGTATTCTTCTATATTGATCCAGAGATTACATCAGATCCACGATTGAAATCACTGGACATGATAATATTGAATTATACATTTTTTGAAGCTAAAAAATCAAAACTTTATGTCCCTGGGATAACAACACCAGAGTATGCTGATGTAGAAACACCAACACCACAGACGACAGTACCAACTGCCGAGTTAGTTAGCTAGTTAGTTAATTAGTTAGTTTGTTTGTTTTTTAATGTGAGATGATTCACTGTGTGTAGTCTCATAGATCCTGGTCGAATGCTTTCGTATTTTGCCTTCATCTTCTCTTTTTTTGTTCTGTTCTGTTTTTTTACCTCTTCTGTAAGTAAGAGATTGTACATAGGATTCCTCTTTTGTATATTCTATATGTCTTATACGCATTCCCTCCTCCTTTACAAAATAAACGATTGTGTATTTTTGTGAAGAATTCTTGTTTATAAAACTTTAATGTAAGTATCAAGACGAGTATTTGTCCAGTGAATGATGTTAGTTATATTTAGACTTAGTCAAATGCCAAAACGTGTAGTAGAACGTCTATTTCGTCATTAATTTAAGGCTCTTCAACTGTGTGTGCATACATACCCATAACTAAGCCACTGGGGTTAAGTGGTGTGGGGTGGGGGTACTGTCAGCGCTTTTCTCTCACTACACAACCGGGATTTCATCATGAACTGATATCAGTTAGAGAACCATTGGAAAACTTGCATGGAGAGTACTGGACAACCGACTCTTCATCAGTGGACACCCACCGTCACGGTTCGAACTCAGTCCCTTCTGGTTACAAGGCTAGTGAGCTTGTAGACCATTAAGCCATTGGAGCCCGACTCAGTGTACAGCACATGAATTCTAACTTCTATCAGTTCACGACATAGCGCAACCTCTAGCCAATGTTGTCCATGGTGCGTATTTGTCCTCACACCTGACCTGGTGCACCCTACTGGTCACGACTTCTCACTAGAACTACCTACCTGAATAGGGCAAGTCTCTAGTGAGCATCTCATGGATATTCAAGTGTTGGTTTGTAGGGATTTGATGATCAAATTTCATGATGGAATCTTGTAACCAATCTATCAAATCCCTACAGACCAACACTTGAACCGGGGATTTATTTCTCAAGTTTCACAATGACAACGATAGTGGGGGTATACTAATACTACTAATAATGATAATAATTATGATAGTAGTAATGATAACAATAGTGATAATAGTACTAATATTAGTAATAATGATGATCGTAATAATAATAATAGTAGTAATAGTAACGATAATAATATATTCCTTCACGTTCCCATAGGGGTAGGGGATTTCAAGCTAGAGGCTTGAAGTTCCGGTAGCAGTAGTGTTTATTTTTTACGGGGTGGGGTTGCCCATGCCCAACCGTCTCTATTTACCAGTCTTATTGCTGGCTTAGAGAGGTAAAGGAGTGCGGTGTGGGCCGGGTATCAAACCCCGGACCTCATGAAGCGTGGTCGGCTAGCATTCTACTGCTGTGTCACTGACTAATAGTAATAACATCTTTATTCTGGACAGTATTTATAGAGTATGCAGAATTTTAAGAGGAGTTTATTCCGTTAAATTTTCCCTTCGTATAATATCTTCAAGTGAATATATTAATTGACAGTATATCCTGTGACACACATTGGTCTTTGAGCTGAAGCGCATACCATTCCATTATGATATATATCTGCTTTGTTTCCTTCCTTCAAGAAATCCACGATGTCGATCTAGTTGAAAGCCAGTTGTAAGAATTTCAGAAGTACATTTTGAGACCCAACTGAAGAACACTTGTCTCATGTATCAGAACATTTTGTCACCCAAAATCGGACCTTTCTTCAAGTTTAATAGGACCTTACGAAACAGAAGCTTGTAAACACTTTAAATATACACAAGAGTAGATCATATCTTAATCGATTAAAACAAACCGAACGGAAGAAATTTTTGGTAGCCCAAGGTTTAAGCGGGCCGTGATAGTCCGAATGGTCAACGAGTTCGATCTCATAACCTAAGCATCCTAGGTCCGTACCCTGGTGGTTGTGTGTACTGTTTGAAGAAATGTTAAACTAAAAACGAAACAGATGTCCCGCAGTACTGCTTTGATGGCTTTTTTTCAGTGATCTCTCTAACACTGATATGTCAGTTGATTCGTGGCGAAAATCCTTAAATTCTTACAAAATCCAATAATCTAAATACACCTAAATCTCCATCTCATTGGTGGCTGTTGAATAGAGATTTCTTGAAACTGTAATGAGAAGTTGTCATCAAAGGGGTACACAATATCAGGGTGTTCATCAATGAGGGTAGAACTCCTGATGGGTTTTTACTCACGAAGAGTACCATACTACAGGGTTGACGAAATTGCTGGCTAGAATTCTATTGCTGTTTTTCAGTGGTTTACCAACTGAAGTCTACTTGTGATCAAACTTTAAATCGATGAAATCCCTGCAAACCAACACTATGGTGGTATGTATACAATTGGTGGATGGTGGCTAGCAGTGGAATCCAGGATGCGCATTTCGTCCTATTTGGGACTCGTCAGCTGGATGTACCTGCATTTCTCAGTGAGTGATGATGTTCCCACCGAGGCTCGAACCCAGTGCCCATAGCTTCAAACGCCAAAGCGTTATCCACTAGACCACTTGAGCCACGAGAGCCACCTCTTGTGCAACGGGTCATATTAATTATTGAATTGAATTTTTGATTTTCCCGTCGATTGATTGGACCGAAGGGCTCGGTTTCAGGTTGACATGTCGGCTTCTTGTGCAGAAGCTATGGGCACTGGGTTCGAGCCTCGGTGGGAACATCATCACTCACTGAGAAATGCAGGTACATCCAGCTGACGAGTCCCAAATAGGACGAAATGCGCATCCTGGATTCCACTGCTAGCCACCATCCACCAATTGTATACAAATCAAATCCCCAGACATCGTCGAAGCATCTGCACAAGAAGCCGACATGTCAACCTGAGACCGAGCACTTCGGTCCAATCAATCGACGGGAAAATCAAAAATTCAATTCAATAACTATGGTGGTATGTTAGTCCGTATGAATGATCAGTTTTAAGGTATAAGGGTATATATATATATATGAAAATAATTTGAGGTAAATAAAGGGGTGAGAATAGTTATGCAATTCGAAATCAGTTAGTTTGGGCAGAGGTGGTTAGTTAGGAACAAGTTATTACAGAATCAATAATTTATGAAATAATCATAAGTATATTAAGGAAGAAAGGACCGATGAGGCTCGAAGGAATGTTTATTGGGACAAGCTCATTGTAGGTACACAAATTTGGTATACCATATCTCGAATGCTTTATTTCAACATCATTTGTAAATTGGTCGAATATCACCACATTCGAAAGCTTTTCGGATTACTCACAGGGTTTCTAACGTTCTTCTCACAGTTCTGTCCTTCGTTTGCTGTTTTTTCCAGTGTCGGAAACATACTGTTGGTTTTTCCGAACTCGTTTGTTGGTATACAATTTAAATATCTGATTATAAGTAGCATTCACTACACAAAGAGGGGGAATAGGTGAATGAATTACCTATGAATACAAAGATACAAATAAGTAAATTCAATTAGCTAGAATAGTTATCATAATAAAATAACAATATGGATTGATGGTTACAGGGATAGGGGAAATAATTTGTAGGCAGCCACTATAAATGAAGGGATTGTATGAATTTCTTCTGAACGCTCACATATTTTGCTTGTTCAATAGATGAATTGTAATCACTTCTACTGTGTTTTCAAAACAAATTCTCATAGTTTGACTCTTTGCTTTGGCCGACTACCGCTCACCCCCTCCCACCCCATTCTTGTAACTATCATTTGATATTGTCATTTTATTATGATTACTGTTCTTGGATCAAGGATCCAATAGACCTAACAAGGAAAAATAATATAATTAGCCCAATACCATGTTATGACTGGAAGTTGGGTCAGTTGCGTATAGGTGAGACTAATTAGATCAAGGTCGGTTAGGTTAATGGGACATGGGAATTGAGATAGATATACAATGATTTAGAACAAATGTTCAGTGCAGTGCACCCACTTGCATACAGTCACACAATAAGGTAAGATAGGGTAAAAGTATTGAAGAGTAATCTAGTTAGATGAAGTGAGAAGTTGGTCACGGAGTTCTTGTTCATCAAGTCAGCATCAAATACGTGCAGTCCTGATTATTTGGAAAATTGTGATAAGAAATAAGACTATATAAAGTAAGTTATGACATCCGTCGTGTGGATTCACATTGACATGCTTATAAGCAGATCGTGTCGCTGTTACGACATCGTCGTTATGATTCAAAGTTATTTACACAAAAACGTTTAGGAAGGTTAGTTGTTTTTATCAGTGTCATCGAGTCAGCAATTTAAAAAAAAACAATTGATTTGAAATACTCTGTATCTCCACATAAAACTGGAACTAAATCATTCATCTGTTTGATTAGATTATCCAAAATTGGACATCTGTGTTCAGCTACTTAACGTTGGACATTACATCGCAGAATTTAGGTCCAACTTCTAGGGTTTGGATTTGATGAATTGGTGATAGAGAGACATTAAATTAATTAAAGGCATCAGTATGGTTCAGAGTGTATTGTTTCAGTATATACGGATTTCAGTATTCCTGTTACTACAGCATGCATTGACAGTGTACTAGTGAACAGTTCGAGGAGATACGGAAGGTTTATTAGGAAGAAAGAAATTGTAGTAATTTATTGTAATCGTAGTATTAGTATTTCGAGATGACCGAATTACAAGAATCCAAACAAAACACAGAGAGGGCGGAATTCAGGAATTTGTACTTAGCGGAATTCTAATGCAATTCATATATGAAACATATTAACAATCAACAGTAAGTATTTAAACAATAAAGAGATAGAAATTGTCAATCACCACATCCGCCACACGTCGAATATCTCCTTGCGTATTTATAACGATGTCTCGGTTTGCTTGCAAGTAGCTGCGACCTTCTAACTGATTCTGTGATATTATTTTCATCAGTATTATCTGGACTTATTTCTGAATTATCTACAAAATCAGGATTAGTAGCGGAATCATTGAAATAATAATTGGAACGACCTACTTCATTTATTGTCACTTTGTCCAGGTGTCCGTTATGAACTGAGTGATCTTTGATGTCTAATATCTTCACCACTCGATTTCCCATT